GCACTCTGGGCACTGAGGATGGCTGGAGGAGGAGAGGCACTCTGGGCACTGAGGATGGCTGGAGGAGGAGAGGCACTCTGGGCACTGAGGATGGCAGAGACTGGAGTCTGGGCAGGAGGCACAGTTGGAAGTCAGAGGCCTACCTGAGGGAGCAACTGAGGCCGGGAGAGTCGGTGAGGTCTCCCCGAGCGAAGGTGGGCATAGAAAGGCCAGGCCAACCCTGAGATCAACCAGAGACCATCAGAGTGGCCGCGCCCCAGGAGAGGAAGGGACACTCCACCACTCAGGGGAAGGAGAGTTTGGAGGAGAAGTGACCTGATCCTAGGCTTTGCCAGAACTGCCATTCAAACCATTCCTGCAGAAAAAGTCGAACCGATGCCCTGGGTCTCGGTCCAGTCCACTACATGAGGGACGGGCTGATAGTCCATCTCAGGTTCCCAGGTTACACAACAGGTTTCCCGCGATGTCCCTGAGGAGGGTCTGCATCCCAGGCAGCAGGGCAGCCTCTGCCGGCTCTTCCAAGCACAATGAGAGCCACAGTATGGAGCAGCCCAAGAGGAGAGGGTGGGGGTGATGGACACGTGGTCAGAGCAGGGTCACCTCCTGGACCATTGTGCAGCTCCAGGTGCTGCAGGGGGTAGTGTCTTAAAGGCGAGCGAGTCTCAGCTCCAGAAGTGTGGCTAGGTGACCACAAGGCCAGGAGGAGGGAAAGAGGCAACTAGCCAGCTGTCATCCGAAGGCTCCTGGCCTGAGCAGGAAGGGACATCCCTCTCTCCTGTCACCCTGCCCTCTCTGCCCTGTGACCCCTCCACTCGAGTTGCTGAGCTCTTTGCTCTAGCTTCCTCTCTCCAGCCGCTGCCCGGTCACCCTGCTGTTCCACTGCTCCCAGCTGTGGTCTGAACACCTGAAACCCCACCTGCACCCTTGGCCATGGCCTCCAGAGGGGCAAGGAGCAAGGCAGAGGCAGGCCCTGCTCCACCGCCCAATGCATGGTCAGCATCCCACCCTGGCCATGGCAGCCACTGGTGTCCTGGAAAAGCCTAGCTCGAGACACGGGAGCATCACTGCCCCTTCCTCCCCAGGACGTGGCCCAGGATGCCCGGTGCACCTTCCAGGTGGGGGACCAGGAAGTGCAGCCCCATGCTGTTGGCAGTTCCATGAGAAGGAAACTGGCTTGGCCGGAGCTTCACATAAGGGCCTTATGCACCTGTGTCCAGAGTCAAGATGCCAGGCCCTGACCTGCACGGGGAAAACTCGACATCCCACCAGCTCAGCGGGATGTGCACGGTGTCTGGTATTTGTTAAGTCAAAATGAAAGCACGTGGCTCCATCGATCTAGCTTTTCTCTGGGTCCTCTTCCACACACACTTTAGAGACCGTCCTCCCAAGAGCCAGGAAAACGGAGCTGGAGGTTTCTGCAAGTTCGCCCACAGTTGGTCCCGGGCCTGATGTCAGCCCCCGCAGCCCAGATGAGAAAACAGAGGCTCCAAAGGGTGAGGTGCCCATTTCACACTCTTCCAGGTGGCAGAACCAGGTGTGGCCTTCTCCCCACCTGGTGTCACCACAGAACAGGGCATCGGGCCAGATGAAAGGGCCCAGCAGCCCTAGAAGTGAAGGTAGTTCTGAAAAGCATCTCCGCGGAGCCGCCTTCCCGGAGCAGCCACCAGGGGGCGCAGCCGGCCGCAGCAGGATTCAACCCAGCTGGCTGGACCCCAAAGCACCGGAGCCACAGTCCTACAGAGCCCTGCCTCCTTGGAGCCAAGGTTCCAAGGTTTCCTTTTAAAGAGCTCATATTGACCCAAGACTAGAGGAGAGAGTCACTGCCTGCCAAGGAGCCCATCCTTAGACACAGCAGCACTTTCTCCCGGCCACTCTCTCCAAGGTCCTTCCTGCCAACCACAAGTGCTTCTGCAGACAGGCCCCTGCCCTAAAGGGCAAGATCCACTGATGGCCGAGTCTGCTAGGAGCCTATGCTGAAAACTGAGGAGGATGCAAAAATAAATTAAACTCACCCTGCCTTCAGAGACTTGAGGAAGTGTGGCGGGGGTACTGGGGAGGGGCCTGTGTGCACTGGGGAGGGGCGGAGGGGCCTGTGTGCACTGGG